TGACCGCAAAAAAGTTTCAACAGATTATCAGGGTAGATGAGGAAGCCTTTGAACCTGCCCCTTGGACCCTGCGCTCATCCACCCCAGGTGAGGCTATTTACTCCTGACCTCCTCCCAGAAATTGTCTTTTCTAAGGCCAGGGGGGTTCTCGGAGATCACCCAGCCCCACGTGCCATTCTATGGGCAGTAAACAATGCTCAGAGGAGAGGAGGTTGGCAGCCAGGCACTCGTGCAGGAACTGGCGGCTTCTCTGACCGGTGCCTAGAAGAGCTCTCTGGCAACATTTGTTTCTAACACTGACTGGCTCTTTGAATGACATCAGCCCCAAACGTTTAGAGAGAAAGACATGAACCATCAAAGCTGTTGTCCTTCATACACCCAAGGATGGTGTCCAGGTCTACGGGGCAAGGATGTCGGGGAATGAAGCAACAGACTTATTAAAGCAGATCGGTTGTGGTTGATTTTTCTTTTCGCTAAATTTTGCCTTATTGCTGCTCCAGGGCTGTTTGCAAAATAAACCTTGGGGAAAGAATCGTTGGAGTGGAGAGCTTACGTGATTCCCTCCATCTCAGGTTTGCCCATTGTATTGGTTTTCTGTTGCTGCCAATAACAAACTAACGAAGTAAGCACCGTAGAACAACACAAATTTATTATCTCATAGTTCCACGGGTTAGAAATACGTCTGGAGGAGGTGGGGGTGGGTGGCACTCACCGGGTTAAAATCAAGGCGCAGGCAGGGCTGTGTTCCTTCCTGGAGGCTCTAGGAGGGAATCCGTTTCCTAGCCTTTTCCAGCTTCTAGAAGCTGCCTGCATCCCTTGACTTGTGGCCCCTTCCTTAACCTTCAAGACCAGCAGCGTTGCATTTATCTGATCATTCTTCTGTTGTCACGTCTCTTTGACTACGGCCAGGAAATCTCCAATTTAAAGAATGTATGTGATTACACTGGGCAAACATGGATAATTCAGGATACTCTCTCCATCTCAATAGCTTTAAACTAATCACATCTGCGAAGGCTCTTTTACCATGTAAGGTAATATATATTCACAGATCCCAGGGATTGGGGTTGGACATCTTTGGGGGCCATTGTTCCGCCTACGTATTCTTCTTTTCCCCTCAGTGGTCTCTCTAAAAATACATTTCACTTCTTTGCAGAAAAGAACATTTTCACTGTCATGGGGAATCTGGCTAAACCAGATTTTTTTTCAAGGATTTTAAATCTTTTTATTTTAAATTCTATTTTACATTCTGCATATATACAGAAAAGTGCATAACTCAGAAAGTTACAGTCTGATTCTTAGCACTCAGTCTGATCAGCACTCAGATCAAGAAACAGAATGTGCCCTGGGACCCCAGAAGCCCTGCTCATGCCAACTTCAAGTCCAAAATATTATTCAACATTTGTTGACATTAAAAAATTTCCTGGGGGGCTTCCCTGGTGGCGCAGTGGTTGAGAGTCCGCCTGCCGATGCAGGGGACGCGGGTTCGTGCCCCGGTCTGGGAAGATCCCACAAGCTGCGGAGCGGCTGGGCCCGTGGGCCAGGGCCACTGAGCCTGCACGTTTGGAGCCTGTGCTCCGCAACGGGAGAGGCCACAACAGTGAGAGGCCCACATACCGCAAAAAAAAAAAAGAAAAAAAAAAATTTCCTGGCACTTCCCTGGTGGTCCAGTGCCTAAAAATCCTCCTTCCAATGCAGGGGACGCGGGTTTGATCCCTGGTCGGGGAACTAAGATCCCAAGTGCCACAGGGCAACTAAGCCTGTGTGCTGCAACTACTGAGCCCACACGCTCTGGAGCCCTCGCACAATAACTGGAGAGCCTGCATGCCACAATGAAAGATCCGGAGTGCTGCAGCTAAGACTTGATGCAGCCAAATAAATAAACAAACAAACAAACAAATAAATAAATATTTAAAAAAAATTCCTACATGAGCAATACTTGGAGTATGATTGAATAAAAAGGAAAGAGCCCAAGTGCTGTTCATTTATTCATTCAACGAATATTTTCTGGCACCTGTCCTGGGCTGGATGCCAGGGCAAATGGGATGTGTTGATTCGATGAGGGTCCTCTGGCACAGAATCTATGGAGGTAACTGTGTGTGTGTGTGTGTGTGTGTTGGGGGGTGTGGGGAGGGAGTTTGTGAAAGAGATAAGAATACAAATGCATTGACCAGCCCTAACCAGAAGGCTTCCCAGGGAAAGTGGGTACCGAAGATGAACACAGCCGAGAAGAAAGAATTTCCAGCAAGGGGGAGAGCAAAAGCAAAGGGGTGGCAGTGGGGCAGGCAGGGTCATGGTGGAGTTTGGGGAAACAAAGAGAGAGATGACCCCTGGACTTGCCAGCCTCTGGGCCCTTGCTCAGCCATTCCCATTTCCCATTTTACCAGCCCAAATCCCAGCTATCCGAACTCAGAACCAGAGGCCATAGCCCTCAGGCCAGTGTCTTCATTTCACAGATGCAGAAGCAGGCCCAGAGGAGAACATACACGCACGGCTGGTCATTGGCTTCATTACTTCTCTCACTCCACACTTCTCTACAGAGCCTCCCAACCCCTACCCTCCCCTGTGCCTGGTGCTGGGGACACAGAGGTGTCAGGCTCCGGCCCTGCCCTGAGGCACACAAGGCCTGGTGGCACAAAACAAGCCATGAGGCCTAAAACACGATCCAGACCACCCATTTCTTCCTCTAGGGCAGTTGCCATACCCCACAGTCCCTTACTGCCTATTCCACTTCCCTGCTTCCCTATCAGGCCTCTCATTCATTCATTTGCACATCCCACGTGTATTTATTGGGCATGTACTTCGTGCGGGGCAATGTTCCAGGCACAGGGAACACAGCTGTGCAGAAGACAGACCCCTTCCTCAGTGGGGAAGTCAGACAATGAACGGAGCACATAGCTATATAATGGGATGTCAGCCGAGGTAAGTGCTGTGCTGTGAAGAAATATAAAGCAGGGTAAAGGGCTAGAGGAGAGGGAAGCTGGTGTTTTAGGCAAGGTGGTCAGGGCAGGCTCTTAGAGGAGGTGACTCTAGGACCCGAAGGAAATGAGGAAGCGTGTGTTACAAGGATGGGGGAGAAGGGAAGCAGGGTGGGGCCTGGAGGCGGGCCCCTCCTTGATGGGTCTGTGGACAGAGGCTAGTGTGACTGCAGGGGGATGTCCTTGGCCCTTTAGCTAGTTGGGAAATCTCACCACTCTCCCTCCATTTGCATCTCCCAGGTCCTTAGAAATGGGCCACGGGGGGCTGAGGTCTGGGAAGGGCCTCTCCTCATACCTCTCCACCCCTCAACACCCTCATACCTAGTTCACACTCGGAGCGAGACCCCATCGCACAGCTGAGGAAACAAGCTCAGAGCCTTTCTCAACGCCCTGCACTGCGCCAGGCGGAGTCGTCTGAGGGCAGGAGGGGCTCTGCCACCGTCCCCCCATGAGACCTCTTTATGGCGGAGGGTGACCCCTTTCTGTGTTCTTAAGAGGAAGTTCCCAGGGGAAACCGGTCCTGACAACTTGACTGAGGAGAAAAGGAGGGTGGCAATGGGGACGGCAGGGGACAAAGTCAATCTCTCGCGGGGCGAGGTGGGGCGGGGGCGGGGGATACAGCCCGGAAGGGGCGATGGGAGGGGCTCAGAGACGCCAAACTGCCCGAGGGGGTGCAGGGGCCGAGGTCGGTCTTGGAGAGGGCCTTGTGGGGAGGGCCTGGAGAAAGTGGGCGCAGGGGTGGAGGGGCCGGCGAAGGTCGAGGCGGGATCCCGAGAGCCATTTGAGGAAGAGCTTGGCCGGAGTCGGAGGTCACCGGAGGCTAGACGCTTGGGGGGGGCGGGGCCGGAGCGGACCGGGAGTTGGAGGGTGG